TATCAACAAAGCTATTTGTCAAGTTGTATGTTAAAAGAACCTGATAATGGAGAACAAAACCATATGACATGCTTCAAGTCATGAATGTTAAAAGAACCCGATAATGGAAAAGATAATCATAGAGACACAATCACACACCCTTGTGACACCTTAAGGCAAATTCCTACAATCATCACTCTACTACTGACGTGAGTTCGTCCAGCAAAGAAGCCCGTCCACAAATTGACAATTCCTCGACCGGGGAATCAAGGGAGGAGACCGGGTTTTTGGTCCAGGAATTTTCCCCGGCCATGACTGTAAAATACACGACTGGGTATTTAGACCGTGTTTCCGATCCTGCCGAGTTTTGTTAACTTTTTCGTTTAAAATTATTTTCCTTTTTGGTGTTTTCATTAGGTTTATTTTCATACCTATTTAAAGGGTTGTAAGCCACGAATTTTAGGAGACTATTCAGATTATTCAGACTTTGATAATGAAAAAACCTTTTTCGGTTCATTGAGTTTTTACTCGTGGATTTTGTGCTTGTTTGTTGGTGGATCTCCAACATTCGAGCGAGCTCTGTATCAATCAGGTATTCCCCTTGATTCTGGTCGAGTTGCTACCTTTATATTGTTGGAGCCTCATCTCGATTTGTATTGAAGTTGCACGACAATTCCACCCTATCCTTTATTTTCGAGTTATTCTTAGATAATCCCAGAAAAACCCTAAAAAGTGAGAGCTGCATATTCTGATTCATGAGCGAGTTCGGATTCAAGGATTTTGCTTACATCAGGTGGTAAGAGGCTGGTTCAAACTCAGTGGCGAGTTGAGGTATTTTATTTTGGTTTTTACTGTTCATGCTACTGTTCACAAAAAAGTTCAAAAAAATTCATCAACCATAAAGCTGAATGTGGGTTGAAAGTAAAGAAGAAGAAAAATAGATATTTTGGATTTTGGTTTGTGTATGTGTGGTTCAAATCAGTGGCAAGTAGAAGAAGGTCACAAGCTATGCTTCAAACCATGATTAATCCAAAGTATGTGGCGGACATGAACGCGTTTGTCGAATGTGAAAAGAGGTTGGTCGACACCAGTCTTTGGAAGTATATACAAAAACAGAGTTTGAGTTCTGATGAGGTGGAGCAGGAGGCGAATCTGGAAGCAGATAAAGCGTCGATCAATTGTCCAGAACTGCAGAAGGAAGATGGAGATTCCTAGGAGCTGGTCACGGTGGAAAATGAGCATATCCTTTATCTCGATCCTTTTTTTACGATTATTCTGATGATGAATTCTCGAGCAGTAATCTTCCATATTGGATTTTTGATAGCTTGATTTTGAGGACTAATTGCTTTGGGTGCAAGAAGACAGATTGTTGCGGTTTGAGTCTAGTGAGTAATGAAGATTTTGGACAAGACTATTCTAGATAGGGCGCCTTTGAAGAAGTCGGTTTCGTTTGGAAACCCAAATGGAGGACTCAAGGGGTGGACCACGACGACTTGAGCTTCCAAGTTCATGATTTGGAGCCCATGTTTAATCGGTTGTTTGAGCTCTTTATTCTGTGGAGTTGTGGCGAACGTTTGCTATTTCTTGGTGTTGATTATACATGAAATTTTGTTTGGAAACCAGGCTGGGAAGCTTTGAGGGCAAAGATTTTTTCAATGGGAAGGGGATGATGTGTGTTCGTCCAGCAGAGAAGCCCGCCCACAAATTGACAATTCCCCAACGAGGGAATCAAGGGAGGAGACCGGGTTTTTGCGTCCATGAATTTTCCTCGGCCAGGATAGTAAAATACCCGACCGAGTATTTGGACCGGGTTTCGGGTCCTCCCAAGTTTTGTTACCTTTTTCGTTTAGAATTCTTTTTCTTTTTGGTGTTTTCATTAGGTTTATTTTTCATACCTATTTAAAGGGTTGTAATCCACGAATTTTAGGAGACTATTCAGATTGTTCAGACTTTGATAATGGAAAAACCCTTTTCGGTTCATTGAGTTTTTACTCGTGGATTTTGTCCTTGTTTGTTGGTTGATCTCTAGCATTCGAGCGAGCTCTGTATCAATCAGGTATTCCCGTTGATTGTGGTTGAGTTGCTACCTTTATATTGTTCGAGCCTTTTCCCGATTTGTGTTGAAATTGCACGACAATTCTGTCATATCCTTTATTTTCGAGTTGTTCTTGAGATAATCCCAGAAAAACCCTACAAAGTGAGAGTTGCGTATTCTGATTTGTGAGCGAGTTCGGATTCGAGGATTCCGCTTACATAACCTACCCACAAACCATGCCAAATAAAGAGGGATATGCAAGCAACAAGACATCAAGAAAAAAAAAACCCAGCAGTCATCTCGAACTAGCAGAAACAGTAAATCTGCAAGCTGAAAAGACTACATCCCTGAATTAAGGGAACCATATCATAGCTGATATACCTGCACAAACACCATTTACAACAATTAATGGCGACCAACACAAAAAAATAGAGTTACGTCCAGTATAGAGCACCACCAGCAGCGCTACTGACGTCGTTAATATTTGTTGTTAATATGCATTTTTCTTGTAGTGGAAGATATGCTCACATTGGATTATATAGCGATGAGTATGTTGCTTTAGAATTAGGGGTGGAAATCGGTACGGTATCGGTATCCCAATACCAAATACCAAAATCCTGAATACCGAATTACACCCTAAAGTCAATCCCAATCCCAATCCCTAAATTATTTCGGTATCCCAATCCCAATCCCTAAATATTTCGGTATCCCAATCGGTACTTCGGTATCCCAATCGGTATTATCGAATACGAAATTAATTATCTTTGCAATTAATAATTAAATATATAAATGAGATTTTATTGTTTAATTTAGGGGGAAAAAGACTAAGCAAAGAGTTTAGGAGTGGACAACGGGAAACGGGTATTTGGGTATACCCAAACCCGTCCCGTTTTTCGAGGGTTACGGGTACCCAAATACCCGTTTTATTTGTCGCGGGATGGGATTTGGGATTGACAATCTCAACTCCGGGTACCCGCGGGTTACCCACTAATACCCGTTTGGGTAGTTTGGGTACCCGTATTACCCATTTAAATTATTAAATGTCATTTAGATTTATGCATTTAGCTCAAATCTAAAACCCAACCCAATCCCAGTCATCCAACCCATTTCCTATACCTGACCAGTGACCATGCCCTCTCTCTCACCTCTCCCTCAACCCTCACTCGGCTCGGCCCTAGGTGACTCGTCTCCAGTCCAGTGTCCCTCACAGCCTCACTCGATTTGGCGACTTGCAGCCCGGCCATAATTGGAGTGAGGAGGAAGCTGTTGATGGATAGTTGTATGCCTGTATCTCTCCATTTCCATTCATTTTTACATTTGCAATTAGGCAAGATAATGCTACTGCATGTTTTTGCCCTCATTATTTCTTCTGCTGGGTGTATTTTGTAAGTGTGTCTTGATGGATAGCATGTGCTCAGACCCATTATTGAACTTTGGTGGCAGCTTATGAGAACGTTTATTTGAAGTGTAATTTTAATATTTTGTTCTAGGTGATTTTGTAAATGTTTCCATTATTGAACGGGTATAAACGGGTAGTTTGGGTACCCGTTATCCGTCCCGTACGGGTTTATGGGTACCCGTTACCCGCTCGGGTTTGGAATATGGGATGGACTTTGGTCTCTAAATGAGATTGGGTACCCGTTTCAAACGGGACGGGTACACAATCCCGTCCCGTTTTCCACCCCTAAAAGAGTTTTGAATTATGATATTATTAAGGAGAATGGAGGAGAGGAGACATCTCAAGTTCTTGTCATTGATAATCTTTAATTTGACGAATTGGAGGTTGGGAGACGACTATTAATAGTGATCGAATGATCTGTATATAATTAAATGACACTTTTGGTGGTTGAGGGTCATGTAGTAGTAAATGAGAGAGTCTAGTTGAGAGGATAAAATACAAACTAGCTAATATTTCGGTATTGATCGGTATTTCGGTATATCCCGATCCCAATCCCGTAATCCCTAATACCGAATAACAATTGAAATTCGATCCCAATAAATAATACGTGTATTCGGTAATACCAAATATAGACAAATTCGGTACGGTATTCGGTATATCCCAAATACCGGTACCAAACTTCCAGCCCTATTCGCCAGCTAGCCAGCTCATCATCCTTTCTATCTGCAAGTCTAAAGGTAACTTGCAGTGAGTTAGGTTCAAACACTTCACAGTTCTAGCTAATTCCGGCCTCAGACCAACCATGCACAACCCACTAAGGTTTCCCTTGGCATACCCCGACACATGTTCCCTCAACTTTAGAAATTTAGACTGGTACTTAGCCACTGTCCTGGTCTATCTCAGTTTGGCCAGTTGATCTAGCACCCATCCTTCTGCTCTCGCGAACTAGAACATGAGTTTCTCCTGAAATATGAACCACGTGATCATCATCTCGGCCTTTGCACATGACCTCTATGCCCATTCATACAACTGGAGGGCATCTCCCTCTAGGTAGAAGGACACAATATACGCCTTCCTTTACTCTCTAGTGGGATAGTTCTTAAATCATTGATCTGCTGCATATAACCAAAGTCCAGCGTCCTCTTGAGCATTTAGCTTTGGAAACTAAATGATCGGAGTCTACGAGTCGGATATCTAATTGTCTAGACCCTCATGAATCTGTTGCATTGTTAAACGACACAACCCTCGCGGCATCATTAAGTTCTACGATGATATTTAGCTCGAAGTGTCGTTGATCTCGCGACGCAGCAATATTGTATTTCATAACAAAAATTAGTTTAGGTGTAAACAAATATATAAATGAAAAGGAAATTAAAGTAAGAAAAAAAAAAAACTACAACGACTTCTGTCGTCGATTCTTCCGAATGAAAAAACTTTCTTTGATTTAGTCGTCAGCACACATACTTGCATTAGGAATTACCTAAAGTGATCAATTGAACCCACCGCCAACATTTTTACTATAAAAAAAGGGAAATGCGGGCATAAAAGAAAAAGGGAGCAGTAGTGCAGTACCACCAAAATCTGTAGTAGATTGTGCCAAAGAAATCTCCCTCTCTCTCTTTGATTAGTCAGCCGAGAAATTGATTTATATAGACGGCCATTTGGCGCATAAGAAGGCAGAGCAGAGCAGAGCAGAGCAGAGCAGAGTTAAAAATGAAGAGGAATCCCATCTCTACAACACACCTCTTAATCTTATCCGTCTTTTGCATCATCGTCTCTGTAACAATTGGCGTCGCGTATGGCAGGGTACCGAATCCCGCAAGCTTCAGAATCCGAGCAGTGAACCTTGGAGGATGGCTGGTCACGGAAGGCTGGATCAAACCTTCTCTCTTCGACGGCATACCCAACAAAGATTTCTTGGTATCTATATCTATCTATCTATCTATCTCCATAAACATTTTCAAATCCTCGTCAACTGGTTAGCTCTCAGATCTACCTTTTTACACACTCCCAGGACGGAACCGAACTTCAGCTGAGATCAGTCACCGTCGGGAAGTACCTGTGCGCAGAGAACGGCGGCGGGACTATCATTGTCGCAAACAGAACATCGGCATCTGGGTGGGAGTCGTTCAGAGTAATTAACTCATTTTAGACTCTGTTTTTGCTCCTCGAGAATGAATACGAATCCCGAAATCTGGTTAATGAGTGGTATTTGAAATCTTGCTTCATTTTGGTGTGGGGAAGCTGTGGAGAATCAACGAGACGAGTTTCAATCTGAGGGTGTTCAACAAGCAATTCATGGGGCTCGGTGGTGGGGATGGAAACAAGGTTGAGATTGTGGGGATCTCCGAGACGGCCGGAGAATCCGAGACGTTTGAGATCGTGAGGAGGGAGAGCGACCCAAGTCGGGTTCGGATCAGAGCCGCTTCGAATGGGCTGTTTCTGCAAGTGAGGAGCGAGGAATTGGTGACGGCGGACAGTTCAGGGGCTGGGGATTGGGGAGACGACGATCCCTCGGTTTTCGCGATGACGATATCTGGGAGATTGCAAGGAGAGTTTCAGGTCACCAATGGCTACGGTCCAAGTTTGGCGCCGCGAGTTATGAGGGTAAGTAGAAATTAAACTCTGAATTGCTTGCCCCTAACCATCAGTTTTGAGTTTTGTCAATGTTTACGCTGCCCTGCCTCCCCTGCTTTCGTGGACTTTTGCCGGCCATTGCCAACTTCGAATTGGGTGCTCGGTACTCGCTATCTCCCCTTTTTGGGTTTCTCTTTTCCTCCGCAGTCCTCACGGAATATATTCTCACCTTTTAGGAAAGTATTTTCGGTTTCATATAAGATTTTTAGTGTATAAAATCTAATTAAATTGCACTTTAATGGTTAAAAATTTAAGCTTTTACGCTTCTAGTCCACGAAAGCGCTTTACACTTTTACGCTTTTAGTTCAGTAAATAAGTATTATTTTCATGAAATTAACTATAAAATGTATATTTTAAAGGTTAGTCATGAACAACATCAACATGATACATTTGAGATTAAAAGAAAACATACAAGGTACTTCTATCCATTCCCAACTTCAATAGAGTAATCAAATTCACCAGCTACACCCTTCCTAAATTCATTAGCATAGAAGGGAGGGTGCCTTATGGTTAAGATCTCTGTTTATGAACATATTGTTAAGATGCTATGAATTGCTCTACTTTAGACATGAATTGCAGCTATTTATAACTTATCTAAATTACGTGCACTCATATTTCAAATAGTATATGTCGTACTAAATAGATTTTTAGCTAATTTACCATATGCCCAAAAAACTTATGTTTTAAAAATTTGATTCTATACTTTACGATTTAAGAGCATCAAGTAATTATATAGTAAATTTCTTTTTTTTTTCACAAATTTAAATCCATTAAGTAGCATGTAATAAAAAACGAACATGAATTTTGTCTAGCAGTACTACCACTACTCTTCAACATAGAGATTTTTGAATCTCCTAAATAACACCTAATAATAAAAACTATTTTCATGTAATATAAAAACAGATGATGTCATCCGGAAAACCGAATTAATTATATGGGGAAGATACATCTGTTAACAAACAAGAATTGGCAGTTGATTGCTAATAAAACTTCTGGGAAAAAAAAACTTGAATTGCTATAGTAATCCTATCTATATTATTATTAGAATCACGAAAAACATATTAAAATATCCGAATTTGTCATAATTATTATAATTATAATGAGATGTGTTTGAATAGCAGGATAAGGATTTATTTGGCATAGTTCTGATTATCATATAATTTGTTTCGATACGAAAATTTCTACAATATTTTGAAGTTATTGTAACTTGATGTTTTTGACCTGCTATAACAGGTTTCACAAGTCGCATTCTGTAAAATACAATAGTCATTATTTAATGGTTACGTAATGTGGGTTTATCTTACGTAATAGTTGAAAAATATCATTACGGAAACCTTACGTAATAGACACTCATTTTACGTAATGAATATTAACCTTTCGTTACGTAATCTATTAAATTATTACGGAAGACTTACGTAACGCTTCTTATTTAACCGTTACGTAAGAAATAACTATCATTACGTAATAGATACATACTTTACGTAACAATTGTAAAGTGGCATTACGGAAGCCTTACGTAATGGATGATCCTTTTACGTAATGAATATTAATCAAGTTACGCAATGTGGTAAGTCATTGTAGAAGTCTTACATAACACTTCTAATTTAACTGTTACGTAAGAAATAACCTTCGTTATGTAACCTTTACGTAATGAGCGTGTATTTTATGTAACAATTGTAAAATGTCATTATGGAAGCCTTATGTAATAGATGATGCTTTTACGTAATGAATATTAACCTAGCGTTATGTAAAATGATAAGTCGTTACGGAAACCTTCCCAACTCTTCTAATTTAACTGTTACGTAAGTCTAACAAGCATATATTAACAGAGAATTATTGGAAAACCTGCTATAGCATGTAAAAAAACTAAGTTATAGTAACTTTAAGGCATGGTAGGAGGTCCCGATGATATTTGGCCTTGCTCAAATACAAGAGGTGAATTTCAATTATATATTTAGTATAATACTTGTGAATTTCAAACATATATTAACAGAGAATTATTGAAAAATCCATGTGGCACAAAACAGAACATATTTGTTAATTTCTCAAAGTTTAGATACTATACACAAGGGAAAAACAAGCACCGTAATTTTACTTCCAAAATTTGCATACCTGTTCGTAAATCAACTAGTCTAGCTTCCGACATCAAAATTTCTCATTTCAATGTTGTACATATAACATATCTAGTTTGCATTGAACAGTTACATAAATTTGGTTTACAGAAATATTACTACCCTTAGTAGCAACATTCGTGAACTAGACATGGTACCGTTGGCGTGTTATGAATTTTTTTTTGACAATGTTGGCGTGTTATGAAGCTGGGTGTGGTTTACCCAGCAATATATATCCCTGGGCGTAGGCGTAGTGTTCTTTTTATTTTTTATAGATAAGAGTGATATAGGTTTAGTTTTTTAATTATATATTATTTGATGGGTTTGAATCCGAAACCTTTAAGTTCAGAGCTAGTGATATTACCACTAGATCAAGTCCTTATTCGTGGTGTAGTGTCACTAACAAATTGAGAGTGAAACACACATCTAACCCTTCTCGTGGCGAACAAGCCATCCTTCATCTTTTTAAGCCCACACCAAAGTTAGGCAGGATGACGGATGACTTGTGAAGGATGGCTTCATCGTCACGAGAAGGGTAAGATGTTTGTTTCACTTTCAATTTGTTAGTAACGGCTTCATAGATTTAGAAAATGAGAGTCTTTGTAATTCAAAAATCCAAAGATTTATCAAGGATTTGAGGTATATTATGAGATATTATGAATTTGTAACAATTCTTTGTTTGTTGATATGTTTTATCATAGATTTAATGGTTTGTAATTTAGAACTTAAAGTCCAAAATTACCTTACTATCCTTTTCAATTTGTTTGTCATGTTTATCATATGTGCACATAACAAGGATAATACGTACTAATAAGTATAATGGTGCCACAAGGACAATACACACTAACAAGCTAAATGTAAGGGCAACCTTAGAATATTAAAAGGCCAGGAGGGTATATAGGTAAAATCTCATCATGAATTTATGACATGTTCCCAATCCCACATCTATATCAATATGTGGGGATTTACAAGTCCGTGGAGTCCACGGATTTGATCATAAAAAAATGCAAAAAATGGATTTCCCTTAAATCCACGATGAAATGAATTTGGGTACCAAATTCATCATCCAAATCCACAAAACAAACAACCCCTAAATTGTTAACACTAGTTCCAACTAATAAATACATTTTGTTTTGATAATTTTTTATTTTAAAGGATTTATCGCAATTAATGAATATTTTTAAGGTACGGGTATGCTTTTCATTATTAAAATTTGAGAGAGTGAAACACACGTGTGTGTTGTGCATCAATGGAGGAGGGGTGCATGAATTAGGGGAACCGCAAAACAAAAACTAGACAACAAAACAAAGTACACCACAAAAATACCAGAAGGTTTAGAAAACATACCAGAATTTCACCGCATCATAAAATTCGTAGAGCATACTAGAAAGGTCAGACAACATAATAACAAGCTTATAAAACCTACCAAAACATCACCACATCACAAATACCAATTATTTATAAAGTATACCATAAATTTTTCTTAAAGAATATCGTAAATCTCCTAAAACATATTAAAAACCTCATAAAGTATATCACAAATTTATTAAATCACACCACAACCCTGCACTGCGCCCTCAGTCCGCCTCAAAATGTCTATTCCAGTCTCTTCAAAGAAATTCCCTACTCAAGATAATTTTTGGTCCAAGTTCAATAATCCCCCTTCTCGCTAGGAGCGGATATGGATAGGTAGGACTTAGGAGAGAGAGGAACAAGAACAACAGGATAGGATGAGTAAATACTATATACAATAATTATCATACTAGGTGTCTTTGGATAGAAAGATTTGTATTTAATAATTGTAATTTGGATTTCAAATACCAAATCATTTGTTTGGATATTAATTACATTTGGTATTTAGATTTGTGCCAAATTCATGGGGTGATTTCCAAATACATGTCTAACGTATTACTTGTCAACTTCAAATACATTCCAACAACTAGTGATTTTGAAATTCCTCCTAAGAAAAGATTGGACCTATTTGTAACATTTTAAAAGTTTAGGTATTATAGTATGATGAAAAATTTATAAAGGTACCAAAATGTAATTTCATCACCAAAATTTCAGGATCTTTTTGTATAATTTTAAAAATTTAGGTACTAAATTGTAAGAAAAATAAACTTTGGGTACCAAAATTTAATTTTCCAAATTTTATAATAGGTGACCAGAAAATTCAAAATTAAAATAAAATTCTAAAAATCTAAAATACCAACAAATTACAAATGAGTATCCAAACAATGAATTTGAATTATATGTATTTCAAATGCACTCATTATTTCAAATACATCATATTTGAAATACACTTATCCAAACACAGCCTTATAATTCTTTGTTAGAAAGGGTGGAAATCGGTACGGTATCGGTATCCCAATACCAAATACCGAAATCCCGAATACCGAATTACACCCTAAAGTCAATTCCAATCCCAATCCCTAAATAATTTCGGTATCCCAATCCCAATCCCTAAATATTTCGGTATCCCAATCGGTACTTCGGTATCCCAATCGGTATTATCGAATAAGCAATTAATTACCTTAGTAATTAATAATTAAATATATAAATTAGATTTTATTGTTTAATTTACGGAAAAAAGACTAAGCAAAGAGTTTTGAATTAGGATATTATTAAGGAGAGTGGAGGAGAGGAGACATCTCAAGTTCTTGTTATTGATAATCTTTAATTTGACGAATTGGAGGTTGAGAGACGACTATTAATAGTGATGGAATGGTATGTGTATAATTAAATGACATTTTTTGTGGTTGAGGGTCATGTAGTAGTAAATAATAGAGTCTAGTTGAGAGGATAAAATACAGACTAGCTTATATTTCAGTATTGATCGGTATTTCGGTATATCCCGATCTCAATCCCGTAATCCCTAATACCGAATAACAATTGAAATTCAATCCCAATCCCAATCCCAAGAAATAATACGTGTATTCGATAATACCAAATATAGACAAATTCGGTACGGTATTCGGTATATCCCAAATACCGGTACCAAACTTCCAACCCTAGTTAGAAGGGTTCTAATACCACCCAATCCAGTCTTGTTGGCGATAGGGTTGCGGCGGTGAATCTCCTCCCCATCATAGCTAGTATATTATATATAAAGACTTGCAAGCCCCTACAAGAACACAAGTGATTATCGTATAAGTTATGGACTAGTCCTGAATTACGGAGATATAACGTAAATCATGTATGTATTAATCTGCGTGTCGAATTGTTTTAGATTGGAGATCCTAGCTAAATCTGACGAAGACTGGATTTTTTGATTATTTCAGGAACATTGGAACACATTCATAGTGGAAGAGGATTTTAAGTACATATCCGAGAATGGGATAAATGCGGTGAGAATACCAGTGGGTTGGTGGATAGCCAGTGATCCAAACCCGCCTCCACCCTTCGTAGGCGGCTCCTTGCAAGCCTTGGACAACGCCTTCTCTTGGGCACTGTAACTACCCTCTCAACCTTTATATTTTTACATATTGCATATAAACATAAATGAGCATAGATAATTAAAATTGAAGGTGTTGATGATACAAATTAGTTCTTTCCTATATTAAATACTTCAACTTAGTTTAGTTTTATTATGTACCAATCACACTTTTTTTAGGGTCAAACATCTTAGTTTGGCAAAACTTTACACTAACAAATTACTTTGGCCGAACTTTTTGAAATCTCTAATATGTCTAAACTTCCAAAATAATTATCCCACTTTGCTTGACTTTTTGGTTGATCGTTAAATTGGAAGGTCAATATCTCAACCCTTAGTGGGCCACTCTCTATAACTTAGGTGGATACCATATCAACTAAAATTTTAAATTAGATTTTAAAGATAATATAAAAATTCATAATTATTTTAGTAAATATCATAAAATAAAAAATATTAAAAAATAGAACATTGACACATTGTGGACGGGGACTACTTGTATCTCACTAAAACAAAGTTATTTTTCCTCCTTTTGTTACTAGTTGACCCACTATATCCCCTTGCTACTTCATCACAACACTCATCGTCGTCCTCAGCCTCGTCAAGCTCTCTACCTCCATCGCTTCTTTAGATCGAGTTATGGTCACAACCATGAGCTTTTGTTCTCTCACTTTCCTGACTATGGCCTCAACCGTCTTGGTCCACTTTTCTTCTCCTTTCTAGCTAGATATGTCGTCTTTATCTCTTCATATTTGATTCCGAAACTCATGATTGAACTCTCCGAGCCCGAATTCCCAAGAGTCCAATTTGCGCAACTTCTTCCCTTTGGTATTTCTAGCGTCATCTACGCAATTTCCAACTACCACTCATACTGTTTGGCTGATCCTCCTTTATGTTTTTCACGATTAGAATTACAAATTATTGTTGGGCGATTAAGAGCATCACATGGGATGTAATTGATAAAAAGGACGTTTGGATGGGGAAATTCGTTTCGAGGGATTTGACCTCAAATTCCTCCTTAAAAATCTCATTTTACCATGTTGTAGGCTTTGACGAGATCCACTTCTCTACCATTTAGGGTATATCCCCATGTTTTGCACACATAGAGTGAATGACCTCTTGTAGAATGCAAATATTATCTGTGATGTCTCTTCAAGACGAAACTAGTCTGGGTTTCGTTCACAAGCTCCAACATCAGCAGTTTTACCTCCTTCGCTAACCATTTAGTCACTACTTTGTAAGCCACATTCACCCTCTCCCCTGCCCTGTTTCGTCGCCGTCGACGAGCATAGTATCTTCACACCAGCTCGTCTGGAAGTTCTAAGGCGCTTAATCATTGTTAACATGAACTTCTAGGCTACAAAACTTACTTCATTCTTCGAACCACTTGTTTCCCCTAGTTCCTTGGCTTGATTTGCGATCAATTGTTGTTGATCTGGTCAAACTTCAGCCGACGATAACGGTTTAAGCACATATTGTCAACCTTCGTGCTTTAGTTTATAGCAATTGGTTCCTCCGTAGTGCCATACCTTTCGATCAAATTGACAAGGAAGACCAAGTAATAAGTGGGCAGCCTGCATAGGTGCTACATCAAACAAGAGCTCATCCTTGCAGCTGCCGATTTCGAACAGAACTCTCGCTTGTTTGGTAACCTTGATCGCACCATAATCGTTTAGCCAATACAAATTGTACGGCTCTGGATGCCTACACTACTCATGCCAAGTTTCTTGACGACATCCCCACTGAATACGTTCGTATAGCTCCCTCCATCGATGATCAGAGACAACAAATTACCATTAACGAGACAACGCGAGTGAAACAAATTGTCTCGTTGTTCTATTGAGGCATGAGCTTCGATGGTTAAATCCCTCCGATTCATCGTCATGAATTTTCCAGTTGTAGGGGCCTTAACAAAAATCTCTTTGTCCACATCTTCTTCAGACGATTTGTCATCGTTCTTCCTCTCGTCCTCATCGTCACCGATGTACTTTTCATCATGCAAATCAGAGTCTCCAAGTTGGGGAATTGGTTTGCCTTGTGCCCTCTGCCATGGCACTTAAAGCACTAGATTTCCCCACTGGAACCTCTATTTCGTTCTTGAAGGACAAGCGTGACATTTTTAGCTGAAGACTTGAAGCCAACTTTCTTAAACTGGTGGTTAATGGGCTTGACAGTTTGCTCTGGGGTCAGCTTGGTGGCCGAAGGAAATTGTCTTCCCAGAGCCAACTTCAATTGCCTCTCAACTTTAATTGCGAGGTGAACCACCTCCTTAAGTTCTAAAAAGGGTTGAAGGTAAACTTCGTGATGGATTTCACGATTCAGGCCATGAAGAAAACACGAAATTGTGGCCTCCTTATCCTCGGCCACATCATGAGCAATTCCAGCCCATTGAAGGAATCATCAACATACCGATTTCCTTGGCGAATCCCTTGTAGTGATTCGTGCAGCTCACTCTGATAATAACCTGACACAAATCGCTCACTCATGAGTCCTCGTAGCTCAGTTCATGTCGCAATCTCCAGTTGCAAATTCCTTCTTCATCATAATCGAATCTGCTTCCACCATTGAGCAGCATAATCCATAACTTCGTACGTAGCCACGATTACCTTCTGTTGTTTGGAATAATTACCGCATTGGAAGAACAATATGATCTTCCTTTCCCAATCCAAATAAGTAGCAACATTGTTGATGCCTTGGAAGGAAGGAATTAAGCGCTTAAGCACTCGTAATTCAGCAATGGTTCCCTGCTCTATTTCCGGGTGGCCGCTCTCTATAATCGCGACGATCATGAGTCTACTGTCCAGGATTGGTGTCAGCCAAGATCATCCCATGCTTTAGCTCCTAGATTCGCACCATTAAAGCGCGATTAGAGGCGTTTGCATCATCTTGGTCACGTTCTCCTTCCAGATCCTGACGATTCTCCTACGGCGGCGGCGACGACAGGGCATCAAGCCTCTACGCTTGTTACTTTAACTGCTATTCAATCTTTTCGAACTGTGCATGAAATAACGCACTCATCTGCTCGGTTATCGTCTGTAAATACTCAGTCATGATCAATTGTCCATCCATTATAGTCTCGTCCAATTGAACCTCCTCATCATATTGAAATTCTTCCTCTGGTTCTCGACGGGAAATCAGATCCTTGGACCTTGTTCTTGATTAGACTGGTCATCGTGCTTTTGATCTGGCCACTATTTTTGAACCAGGCTCTGATACCACTTGATATTAGCAAGATCGGCCTACTCGATGAATCAGAATCACGCAACCAAGTGATAGTTGAATTGAAGAACTCGAACTCAAGCAAGCAAACCAACTAGGTCGATTTACTTGCGTAAGATGGAATCGATTGTGCAATCTAGAAGCTTGGGAGAAGGCTTGACTCGTTCCAACTACAACACCCCGATCGATGACCAAGTATAACCGTCGACCGGGTGTAGCATAGGGCAAGCAAGAAATAATAATTTATCATACCACGGGGATCTAGGCTTACCCTACTTCAGGTTTGGGGTTCGTTATCTAGCCAACCTAGGATAGTGGTTAAGAGAATTAAACTAACTAACCTAGCTAACCACTAACCTAGCTATTTACATGTTTGGGAGCTCTCTTGGGTTGAATCCTCCTAGATCCGTCATAGGATCGATGTTGGGTATCCTACTAGCTCGATCGAATCACTACCCTATAGTTAGGAGATGAACTCCCTCGGGACAGACCCAAAACGGTGAAGTGATGGACGGGTGGTGCTCTATTCAACCCAGGACACCCCTATATTGTAGGAGCTCGATCCAATCGACTCCCTCGGGGATTACTCGGACAATATAGGGTGAGGAGTGACCCGAAGACACCAAGAAAGGGGCTAAGGGGATTTTCTCCCTCCTAGGTCAAAAGCTCAAAACATGAAAATGGAATCCAAACTCATGCCGTTCATGAAAACCATCCATAACTTAGATAATAAACTCAATCAAACATGGAATTTGTCACATACAACAACACCAAACAAAATCTAGACCTAGAGTTCTTAAACACAAGAGGAGAGGGTGAGTTTGTAGAGAGAAAAGAGAGAGATTACAAACAAAGCACAAGATCTTCATCTAGGCTTGATTCCTTGCTTTCAAGCTTGATCAATGCCTTTAATTAAGCTCCAAGATCACTCAAGAACTCTCTCTCTCTCTCTCTCTATAGAACTTCCTTTGGTGTTTTGGGTCGAAACCCTAGAGAAAGAAACTAATTCCTCTCCAAAAACCAGCTCCCCTTTCTCTCTCCCCACTGTTGTCTTTAAATTTGCCCAACATAGCCCAGTTCACAGTCGGGGACCTCAGTTCACGGTCTTAGACCGTGAACTGACTTGAGCCTAGTAACTTGCAAAACCGTTCTGGAAATTGGTCACTTCACGGTCAGGGCTTTCAGTTCACGGTCTTAGAGACCGTGAACTGAAGCTCCAGCCCGTGAACAGGGCTCAACCTACACTTTTTGGCTCGTTTTGACCTCCGAATGACCCGAAACTCGTCCCGGACCTTCTCACACGCTAGGACCTTAAATGTAACAAAACAAGCACAACCTAGTGTAAAATAGGTCGAGGAACGGTGATCTACTAAGCATAGCTGATAAGAAATGTGGGGGAAAATGTGTACATTTTGACCCGAATCACTCCTCCATACTTGAACATTTGCTTGTCCCCAAGCAAAACAAGTACAACACAAGGTAAGCTTACAACTTCTTTTCTCAACCAAAATTTGGGGCATGTCATAGGGCACCAAACGAATGAACACAATGGTTATTTGAGACCGACCTATGGACAAAAACAAAGTAATCATGGCAGCCACCATAAACGATATTCAACTGTATTAAGATTGTGCAAAAGAAGAGTTCTCACATTATTCACGAACCAACACACAACATGTCTCGACGACTCACCAATCACAATCACTCATGCATGAAGATCACATCATAGGAATGAACGATCGAGCAACCTATGTCCTCATCGGGGGTATAAGAAATGAACAAAGCATGATGAATGTATAGAGGTAAACAACATGTACGTGTTTCTATAGATTGTATGCCAAGAAACACTTCTAAGAGCATGTTCAACATTTATTATACTTTTGGTGGACACTCTCTTTTCTTCTTTTCCCTTTTATTTATTTATTTTTCTCTTTTTCCTTTCCTTTCGTTTTCTTTTCTTTACTCTTTTCTTTGATGGCTATAGAGAGAACATGCCACTCTTTTTTTTACTTAAGGAACAATGCTCACTTTTATGAACTACCTCCACACTCACTTCACATTCTTAGCAAACTATACACAAATCACTCATGTGGAACCTCGTTTAGGCTCAAATGGTATGAATAGAGCTTCCAAACACAAGGGTGACACCATAATGGTGTAGACTCGAAGAAAGTAGGTTCGTTCTATCTAAATCAATCAAGCTCAAGTAGCGAGAGCTACCTAAAATGAGAACGATCCTTCGACACACGGCTCAAAGGGGTTGACTAGGGGATCATACGATCGGGACAATCATCATTTTGGGTCGTGGACTAATCCTATGCCTCCATCTTCCTCGCTAGCAACAACGTGAATACTACACATCATGTAAAGGGGGAACTATCACACAAGAACGAAACGAACGACACAAGTCTAACATGGCTACCTAGGTGCTCAATCATTCGTTCTAACTCCCTAAAATCGATGCATAGGAACTTTGAAAAACGAGTAATCGATTCAAAACATCTATCACAAACACATGAGAAATGAACCTATGCACAAACCTAATACAAGTCTCAAATCATCCACAGATAATGCTAATAACCACGAGATTCAAAACAAATCACCAAAGGTGCCACTATGATCACACAAACATAGAAGTTGCTATGCTTGGATCCCTCAAATTTTAAAAATTTAGGCATACAACTAGGCTCCAAGCATTCAAAATCACACCAAACATTCACACAAACATGCATAATAGACTATCCCCCCCCCCCACACTTAAACTCGACATTGCCCTCAATGTCGTAAAATAAGGAGGTAGAACGATGTTACCGGATAGTGGTGAATGTTGGTGTTCAGGAGTGGAGGGCGGGTGAGATCCGGAAGAGCGTGGAGACGGCAAAACACCACCAAAATCTCTCCAATGGTCGTCTTATTGAAAAGGAAAAGAGATGCAAACCGATGATGGTTGGGTTGCCTCTCACCAAGCGCTTCTTTAACATCGTGAGCTGGATGTTTTCTCCTCAAGTTTCGGTCCACCCAAGAACCTCCTTGAAGTTAAGATTCTCGTCAGTGAGGTGGTGTCTCATGTCACGAGCTTTGGACGAATCCATGATTGAGGGCTCGTGAACTTGAGTTGTCATGAGGCTCTACCCACGAGACCTCTCCTTCTTTCCTTCTTCTTCCTTCTCTTTGCCCCACACCATGTAATGCAAACTCGATTTACTTCCACCGCATCCACCAAGAGGGATCACCGATGGTTTGGCCTTGGCTTGGCAAAGCGACGCCAATGGGTCCTTCTCAAGTAACGCGTCGAGGTTGGGTGGAAAGTCGTGATAGTACTTATAACTTGTGGATGCTTCATCCACAGCGACCTCGTCCTCAACTTGGACCTCACTTGCTCCTTCTACTTTTACTTCTACTTCTACTTCTACCGCAACCTCCCTTCTTTATTCTTCAATTTCCTCCCTTTGGGAAGAATCAATACCTTCCTCATCTTCAAAGCTCCATTTTTCCTCTTCAACCTCCTCCTTGTCCTTCCCATTCAAATCGTCAAGCACGGTATGGAGGGCAAGATGCCATGCAAGATCATAGAAAGAATTCTCTTGCTCCTCTACACTCTTGACTTGGTCTTCAAATTTGCTCGCGGGAAGGGGAAATTGATGAAAGTCGTCAATGGAACCTTCTTGTTCATCCTCACCACGGGAGCTCTCTGGGGTGAGTTCGTCTTGCTCCACATGGTTGTCATTGATCGCTCCATCAACCTCCTCTTTCTCTGCCAATGATGAGAGGCGATAGCTTGCACAAGCTCGTGTCACCTTCTCTTCAAGTGTCAAACAGGGTGGAGGGAGGGGTTGGAAATCCGTGTTAGAGCTTGGTCTTTCAAATTTCTCCATGGCAAGATCCAATTTAGACTTCTCTTCGGGTTGTGGGGGATCCAATTTTGAGCACCCTTCATCGGTGCCTCGAGCAAACCGCTCAACCATGAGCTCTAACTCGCTCTTTGGCAACGATTTTGGAGTGGCGCATGGTCTTGAGGAATGTCTCATGAAAGCCTCCATGGCCAACTCCAACTTAGATTTCTCCTCAAGTTGTGGAAGGAAATCTTCTTGATATGGGGAAGCTTCTTCATATCCCCAATGGTATGGTTGTTCTTCTTGGAAGGGAGGTTGATCATAGAACCCGTTTCCTTGGCTTCCACCCTCTTGACTACTCCAGGAAGCTCCGGGGTACCCACATTCGGGTGGTTGTGGATACCCCCACATGTTGTAGAAGCCATTGGGATCCATGATTCAACCTGCAAACACCAAAAAACACAAAAACAAAATCAAACATACACAGACCACCCTTCAAGTGAAGAGTGGGTGAACAAAACTCAAAAAAAAATGCAAACACAAACGGCTAAAGTAACGACCTAACCCTTTTTCAAATAACCTAGAATGGCTCCCCGATAACGATGCCAAAAACTTGACTCGTTCCAACTACAACACCCGATCGACGACCAAGTATAACCGCCAACCGTGTGTAGCATAGGGCACGCAAGCAATAATAATTTATCATACCACGGGGATCTAGGCTTACTCTACTTCAGGTTTAGGGTTCGTTATCTAGCCAACCTAGGATAGAGATTAAGAGAATTAAACTAACTAACCTAGCTAACCACTAACCTAGCTATTTACAAGTTTGGGAGCTCTCTTGGGTTGAATCCTCCTAGCTCCGTCGTAGGATCGATGTTGGGTATCCTCCTAGCTCGATCGAATCACTGCCCTACTGTTAAAAGATGAACGCCCTCGGGATGGACCCAGAACGGTGAAGCAATAGACGGGTGGTGCTCTATTCAACCTAGGGCACCCCTATATTGTAGGAGCTCGATCCAATCGACTCCATCAGGAATTACCTGGACAATATAGGGTGAGGAGTGATTCAATCGAGCTCCATAGCCACTTTGAGCCCTTCTTTCAAAGGCTTCCAGGTACCCTTGAGCTCAACCGACTCCAGTACGTTCTTCAGTGAGTCTCATACTTTTAATCCCAACTCACAACTCTCTTCGTATGCTCCCCAATCGTTTCGAATAGGCCTCCAAAGTAGGTAGCTTGAAACAGTTTCTATACATAGCCAAAATTCCATAAATGTGTTCTTCTTTGCTCCATGGTTCGATTTCAAAATTGCACTTCAATGGAGAACACTCAAAATCACAAACCATATTCCCCCTCCCCCACCTAAAAATTCACTGCAAGCGCTATCATGTTTTGTCAAACCACATCTAGTTAATTACTCTAGTTGCATTGTGCAACTAATCTATGGCTCAACAATAATCTCTATATTAGGACAGTAGTACCCTACTGTCAGGCCTAGAGGGAGGGACTCAACCGTTGTTGGCCAATCAGTCGGTGGCAAGCTGTGATCACAATCGAGTCAAACCTCTATATGCCCGATGTAGGTTTCACGAGATTAGTGGAGTTGTCTCTTGTTCCTTAGTTGATTATTTATAGTTATGTGCAATTTAGCGTAATATACTTATTTTGAAAACTTTGTTGATATATGTGCTTAATATATAATTTTTATACTTTTGAAAAATATTGCAGAAAATATGGATTGAAAGTCATAGTTGACTTGCACGCGGCCCCTGGCTCACAAAATGGGTTTGAACACAGCGCTTCAAGGGACGCTTCTCAGGAGTGGGGATTAACCCATGAAAATATAAGACAAACCATTAATGTGATAGACTTTTTGACTGCAAGGTACGTAAAGAGCCCAAGCTTGTATGCCATCGAGCTAATAAATGAACCACTATCTCCTGGAGTGTCTTTGTCTAGCTTGGAAGAATATTATCAGGGAGGATATGACGCCGTTAGAGCCCACTCTCAAACGGTATACGTAGTGTTGTCAAACCGATTAGGGTCTGAAGCCAAACCCAGAGAGTTGTTTGCACTAGCCAGTGGATTCAAAGGAGCCGTGATCGATGTTCATTACTACAGTCTCTTCTCCAACATCTTTGACAACATGACCGTCCAGGAAAATATTGATTTCATTCACACAAACCGTTCGTCTGAATTGAGTTACTTGACGACTTCCAACGGCCCTCTCATTTTTGTTGGTATGACGAGCTTTTTCGGTGTATATTAGTTTTGACATTTTCTTCCCCTTTCATTTTTCATATTATTAAAACTGGGTTTGAATTTTGCAATTTATTTTTGCAGGGGAGTGGGTGGCCGAGTGGAAAATTTCAAAGGCAAGCAAGGATGATCTTTCAAGGTTTGGTGAGGCTCAATTAGAGGTCTATGGGCGTGCAACTTTTGGTTGGTCGTATTGGGCACTGAAGAATGTCAACAACCATTGGAGTTTGGAGTGGATGATTGACAATGGTTTCATAAAACTTTAGAAACCATTTTGTATCATTTAGTGTTTTTTCTCTATTGCCAAGTAAAAAAAATGCAAAAATCGAGGATAAAACACGATCATTGTAGTTTTGTTGTTTTTGCGGAATTGGGCTTCACTAACACAGTCCAATCCAAACAAATGCAAATAAGTGGCTTCATATGCATTTTTAGAATGTGTTTGATGGGGGTTCGTAGTGATTGATTGGTTGATTTTGATAAACCCGTCCTCCAGTTCAAGTTTCGTGGCCCTCACTTATCCATATACCCCAGTAACCCCTAGTGGAGATTTGACACCCTTGATCCAATTTGAGGAACATGATGTTCGGTTTCATTGCCCGAGCACCACTTCCCAACCTGCACTCTTCTTCTCAACTATAGACGGGTCGTGATAACACTGAATTTGTAAATATTTTTACCCCTCATTTCTTGATTGTTTAGCTTGGTGTTTATCATACGTTGATCTATTTAACACTAGGTTGTGTTCATTTGTCACATTTCAGGTCCTAGCACTTAAAGTGAAGTATAAATGCAAGTTTCAAGTCGATCGGAGATCAACTGGTAACTCAGAGGAAGAAACTCGGGCATGAGCCAAGGAAGAATGGATTTCTAACTCATTTTATGGACAAAGAATCATGTAATCTAAGCATTTAAATAAAGAGGACGAAACTACGAGAGTCTGGGATCAAACGGTGACTAATTCGGAGTCCGGATGGAGAAACAAAGCATCAAAGACAATGGAACAAGAGCCGAGGAAGAAACACGGGTGGGAGAAACACGGTTGTGTTTTGTCCTCTCGTGCCCGTGTTTTATGTGCCGAGAAGAAACAAGGGAAGGGATGAAACACAGCCGTCTTTCTGCCTCCTGCTCGAGTATAAGTATGGTTTCTGCGATTTTAGAGAAGGGGAGTTTGGTTTTGCTTCCGAAACACCCAAGGGATGAACCCCCAGAAAAAGAGAGCGACTTGGAAAAATTCTTAGAGATATTTTGGAGGATTTCCTCGCCATTGGAGCTCGAGAATCAAGATTGGAGATGAAGATTGAAGATCTAAATCGAATTTGTGCATTCTCTCTCTTCTCTATGGAGTAACTTCCCTTCACTTAGGTTTTGAGGAACCCTAGTACAATGTGTTATGATCTTTCTTGTATGAAACTTTGGATCCTTTACCTTTTGATTTTAATCGATGGAGGCATGATTTATTAAGTCAACTGAATCCTGGTCAAATTCTCTTGATTTCTGCTTTAACCTTTAATAGATAGAATCTGATTAAGTTAAGAGAGCTTCCTTGATTGTACGAGAGTCAGTTAATTCGCTGCTTTGTACTGTGAAATTCATTCCAAGTAGTGGAGATATGTGTGAATTGCCTAAGCATTCTATCCCGGTGAATGTTAGTCACTTGTTGTATACTATGTCTAAGAGGGCTTGGTCCGTTTAAGAGATACGAAAGCTATTATCGATCCAACAGTTTAATCAACAGTAAAACAACCAAAGAAAATTATAACTTGAACCTAACTGGGGAGCTAGGGGAATCATACCCAAGTGAGTTCCAAACCTGTAATTAGATTAATTTTAACTATAGTTTGCTAGAGTAGTTAGAATTCTTCTATCTTAATATGCTTTGCTAGATAATGAACTGAAGCTGAGTAATAGTAACTCTAGAGACTTGTGGATTCAATATTTATTATTTGTTCCACTATACTACTGTCCCTTTCATTGGTACACTTGGCCATTGTTAGGAGTTGTGTTTTAGCGAGTCAAGTTTTTGGCGCCATTGTCGGGGAACTTTCTAGATGATTAGGAAAGGCAGAAGGTTATTAATTTATCTTTTCTTTCTTTTGTTTCTCCTTCCACCCTTGCTTTTCACTTGGGTGCTTTGCTTTTGATTTTACAGATTTGAATCATGAACCCATATGGCTTCTCCGACCAGTAGGGTGTCAATCATCACCTAGTTGGTATTACCCTGAGACTTCATGGGATAACCAATACGGAGAAAGCTATGGATTTGGGTTCCAGAAAGAGCAACCACCCTCTTGCGAAGAACAATCAGAGCCCTAGGCATTTCAAGAACAATCTCCTTATCAAGAAGAATTCCTTACACAACCAGAAGGGCCATCGGAGCTAGAGTTAGCCATGGCGTCCTTCACGGGCCATTCTGGAGAGCCATGCTACACTCAACTAGAAAATTCGTACAAACAATTGAGGCTTCTCGTGGAGCATATTGTTCAAAACAATGAGAGATCCTTTCCCAAGATGGACCTTCTAATCCAATCCATTGGTCCTCGTGACCCTTCCTTTCTCCTTGAAATGGAGGATACTGTTCAGTACTCAGCAAAGCAAACTTAGTGCGTTGAGCAATTTTGTGCATAGCTTGCTCAAGATCACCTTTCTACTACCATAGAAGAGGAGGAGGAGGATGAAGGAGGCTACAAGGACATTGTGAAGCAGATAGAAGTTGTCTTGGAAAGCTCCCGTGATGATAATGATAAAAAATGTCCTGTTGTAGCGGACCACACCTTTCCACATCCCACACCGAGTTTTTAAGAGGCAGACATGAGTGAGGAGATGCAAGATGATCTCATTGAAGAAATTGCTTGGTGACTTGCTCTCCCATCCGTGATGGAAGAAGAAGAGCAAGAAAGGGTGAGTAAGGAAGTTCAGGAGGATGACGAAAGAGAAGCAGTTAGAGTTCTTGATCTTTTCCAAGGGGAGAGACCACATTCGGAAGAAGGAAGGGGGGTTAAGGAAGGCATTGGCATCCAGGCTGAGGACGAAGTTGATGCGGAAGAGACCTGCACCGACCATGAGTTACATGTGATATCTCCACCAAACTTCAAGGAGCTGCTTGGCCAGGACCCATTTGAAGTGTCTCTTTGTCTGCCCAAGGCCATACAAACATCCATCCCACTTAGGGGTGTCCATTCGGGTTTTGTTTTTCGGGTTTACCCGAAACTGACCCGATTTTGTACATTTTCGGTTTTTTCGGGTTCGGGTCCATTTCGTGTTTCGGGTTTTTCGGTTTCGGATTTGGTTTTGCTTATCGGTTTTTTGGGTTCCGGCTAAAAACCTCCAATGAATAGAACTCAGCCCGTATTTTTAAACTTTCGGTTTTGCTTTAACCGAACCCGATAAGGAATTTTCGGGTTTCGGGTAACCGAAACCCGCAAGTCCTTATCGGGTTCGGTTTTAGTGATTTTCGGTTTCGGTTTTTCGAGTTTTTTCGGGTTTCGGTTTGGGTAACCGAACCCGAACCGACACCCCTAATCCCACTTGGTGGATGCGATGGTGGTCAATCGATGTTTTTCTACATGGTTTGGGGAAATGAGACAAGAGAAGAAGAGGTCTCAAGGGTGGAGACTCCATCTGCATCAAGTACACGAGCCTTCATCACCTACCACACCACATGCTCGTGACTTGAGACTCCATTACTCGTCCCGAATATCACAATAAAAATACCAATTAGGGCCCAAGTATAAACCTTAATTGGGTGCAATATAGGGAAATATGTTTAAATATCAACCTGGGTCGGTCCATGTACCCATACTTCGATTGTTTGTAATGTTATCTAGCGATTGGGTTTTGGTGAAAACAACAATCTATAGCTAAAATGTTTGGAGAAGTAAATGGATTTGACACTAATTGAGAAGGCTTCACCCGGGTGTTGCTCCCCCTAGCTAGAAATTATGATTTGTCGGATCGAATGGACACGTGTGGTAAGGAGGTTGTAAACCGTAGGGAAGTGCAACAAGTGGACAAATGCCACTCTCTCGGTCAATAGGTCAAGGGAATTCGATTCAAGCTACCAAAGTAGCTCTCTTGACCTATTGACTAAGGGTTGCCAAAATTTCACCCTCGAATCGGATTTTGGACGACCAAATTACAACAAACCCTGGGTGCTAATACGAACAAAGAGGGTTGCCCTACATTAAACTAGATAGGAGACAAGATTTGCTTAAGAAAACCCAGCTTTGCAAGCCTCTTTCAAAGAAAGAGAGTTTTATCTCTACCTAGATTAGAATGGAAAATAGATTTATAGGAAAACACACAACAAAATCTTCCATGAAAATACCACCAAATTCATATTAAAACACATCCACACATAAATCATTCAACCCATACAAAAATTCACATAATTGTAGCTAGGGTTTACAAACACCCAAGTGAAATAAGGAACTACTCCATGCTAGGAGAATGGAGAACACAAGGGAGAAGAAGGGAAACCATCATGGAGATGCTAGCCTTGCCCCTTGTGTTGAAAAGATCCTCCTTTGGGGAAGGAATTCCCAAAACCTGTCTTGAAGATCAAACCCTAGCTTCTTCTCTTCTTTGGTTCGTCACTTTCTCACTCTAGAAATTGGAAGAAGAAGAAGTTTCTCACACTAGGTATCTCTCCCCTTTCCCTTCCTTCAGCTCAAGCCTCTTTTATACCCAGGTCGAGCTCGATTCACGGTCCCAGTTCACGGCCGTGAACATCTGGCGAGGACCATGATCTGGAGCAAAAATGCACCACGCCATTTAAGCTCTTCACGGTTTATGGCTAGGGTTCTGATTCGGGCCTAATTGTACATGTTTTGCCTCCGTTTTCCTTAGTCGTTTGTGGCAACTTGGCTCCTAAAAGGTTGGTTTTAAGCTAGGTTTCTCGTGTTTTAGGATTTAACAGGTGAAACCAGCCTCGGAGTCGAAAGTTGGATGAAAATGATCGAAAACTGGGAGAAGAGGTGAAAAGGGTCAGTTCACGGCTATCCCAGGAAGTTCATGGTCTTGCACGACCGTGAAGAAGAGCCATTGACCGTGAACCTCGAGGCGTCCAGAGCCAAATTGCAAGTTACTAACGCAAGGTGAGTTCACGGTAACTAAGACCGTGAACTGAGGCTGTTGACCGTGAACGGAAATGAACGAAGCGGTGCGTTTTGGCGTCCATCTGCAATTCACAGACGCGTTTCACTGTTCACGGCCGTGAATTGAGCTCGTCTCTGGTTTAAAAGATGAGTTGAAATGAAGAGAGAGGGAGATCCCATTTGAGTTAGAAGCCTTCTTCTGATTTCTAGAGAGAGAAACACGAACTAAAGAAGAAAGAGGATAGGGTTTTGCTCCAAGGTGGATTTTGGGAAGATTTACTCCAAGGAAAGTTCAACACAAGGGCCAAGAAGGTTGGAAAACTCCTCCAAGATGGTTTCTACCCCTTCTCCTTGTGTTTCTCCCATCTCTAGCATGGAATAGAATTCTTTTCACTTGGGTGTTGTGAAACCCTAACTCTACCATGTAGTTTTCTTT